TAACGTACGTAGTAGTACGAACGAACGAACAACTAACGTAGTAACGTAACTACTACTACCTACCTACCGTACCTACTCTTACTTCGTCGTCTCTCGTCTCTCTCTCTCTCTCTCTCTCTCTCTCTCTCTCTCTCTCTCTCTCTCTCTCTACATATTTCAAAACTCTTAAGTGTTTTAACCCATATTTGTTCATAGGATTGCCTTGTGAATACCAACAGGAACTGGAAATCTTGCCAACCAGGTAAATGTCTTGGCATCACAAGCTTAACAGAGTTGGGGTTATGAATTTAAATCTATTTTAGTGTATTATTATGTTTCTTTTGTTGTGGTTTTTACTATTTCATTGGATTGACTTACGTTGTTATTTGGTTTAAGCAATGAATTTGGTTTAGATATTTTGATTGGCTTGGAGTTATTTGCATGATTGTTTAGTGAGAATTGGCTCCTCTTTGGGTGTTGCCTTTCTTTAGATTTTTTATTTGTAGATGAAATCGTAGTTATTCTTTTCATTATTTCCTTCTTGAATTCACTGGAGCCATTTGGTCTTGCTTTTCATGGCAGAATTGATGTGTAGTTCACATAAAACAAGAGTATGCTAAGTGATTGGTTAAATTCATCTCTTAAACAGCTTCCATTTAACTCTTTCAAGTCATTTACTTCATTGGATATATAGAAGTTCTATTGGGTACTTTTTTTCTTCTTTATGTTTTAATGTTATTACTTTTCTTATTAAATATTGTTAATTATTAGTATGATGAAAGTTTCAACTGCTATTTTAAGGATAAATAATCAGGGAGCCAATTGACTGAGAGCCGAAGGGGGCTCCATGACTTTTTTGTCTTCTCAATGGGAAAACATCCCCTGAACTTCATCTCCTAAAAAGCATCAGCAAAGTTCACATTCTTGTTGTTGTTAATCAGTATAAAAACCATTTTCAGTGCATCTTATGGCTTGATTGTTCTCTCATTGTATACAAGGTCCTCTTTACCCTTGTGTTTTTGCTGTCAAGTTCTTCTTTTCTTGTGATGGTATGCGAATGTGAGATCATAGTTGCATATGTTGTAGATCATTGTGGAAGAAGACTTGCTCAATGAGGTGCGCTCTGCTATTAGGGTCTCCCAAAATGTTCTAGAATATAGATTGCTGCACTATAGAAATTTCATTGCAACATGTTCACTGGGAAACTAAGGAGCAGGTTGATGTGCTGGCCCTAGTTGCGATCTCTAGTATGAATTTGCCTGTGTTTCTCTCCCTTTCTTGTAGTGTCTGTTATATATTGAGTCTTCTATATAATTCCCTTACCCAACAATACAAGCAAATCCTTTAAAAAAAATTTAATGCAAGAATTATATGCCAGTGTCAAGATTCCTCTTCGATGTAAATTCTATTGATGAGATAACTTGAGAAACATATGTGAGAAGACTTCTGATGGTTTTGCATTGATGTTAGTTCTGTCCAAACAAAAGAAAATTGAGCAAATAATGTCTTTTCCATGAATTACTTCACTAGAAAGTAGATGGTTTTTTTGTGTGGGAGTTGGGGGGTGCCTCCGTCAGCATTGTTTATCAGCACACTTGAAAAAGTTAGATTTCTTTGCTACTATCTGTTGAATCAACTCTTAGATCCACTAGAAGGTACATCGTACAGTACCGAATGTTACCATCTCCTTATGAAGCTGAAAATTTGTTGAAGAAATTCTCATGCGGTTCATTTTTTTTCTTCTATAGTAGTTGCCAAAACGGACGGGGCATTGGAAAGATCAGTGCTATTTAGTATATATGAAAGATCATTTGCATCTAGTTCATATACAGGAAATGCTTGCATGGAGGTCCTGAACATTGAGATTGAATAACATAGTGAAGCTGTCATTAAAGATCTTGTCTTTTGAAAAATACACTTGATAGGTATGTCCAATTACTTTTTTCATGTAGAGGTATTTGCCCACTGATGTTTACCATGTACTTGTTGTATGATTATAGAATGTAAGTATTTGCAAAAATATGTATGTTTATGCACATGATCAAGTGATCAGAAGCTTCTGGAGATAATATATGTGTGATGACTTTAGGCTCTTTATGGTCTTTACATACCGGTGATGGATGGCTGTGAAAGCCATAAAAGCCCATAAATTTATAAATTTAGGGTTGTGTTCTGGGCACCATATTGATTGATCACGATGCATCATCTTGCTCTAAGGAAAATCACATAACAGCAATTTATATTTTCATTATTAGATTGTATGATATTAAGACTATTTTGTTAGGTCAGCAATGAAATTTAAACATTGGACATTTTGTTGCAGCCCTCAATGCCCGACCACCAAACAATCAGCCCAAATCCCTTGTAAATTGTATATATTCTTGTGTTACTTCATGAAAAACTATAGCTTAGGAAATGGCCATTGTTCGATACTTTAAAATCATGACTTTCTTCAGGGTATTCTGGTTGGCAATCCTTGCATGCATAAATACTAGTTTTTGATACGTACCTCCCACCTTCCAGTCAAATTTATTTTTAGGACAGATTTCTGTGATCACATGATTGATCTTCACCAATAAAGGAAAATGAGAGTGTGATACAGGTGGAGCACCAAAAGTTTTGCTCCATCCACCGAAAAACGAATTTTGAGGTGTGAGGCACATCAAAAGAATTTCTTGCTCCTTCAAAATTAGTCTTATCTAAATTTTGATTTGGTTTGGAGCTCCGAAAGAGCTCTAAATCCACCTGACCTATCGCCCATTTTGAAAGAGCAAGTGCTAACTTGCAAATGTCTTAATTGGATCTTCATGCCTCTAGTTATATTTTCATTCCTCGAAAGAAAAAGTCAGCTCGAATTTGTCAAATCAGACCCGCTGCTCTCACATATGTATGCTTTTTTTTTTAGTAAGATATGTATGCAGTTTAATTACAGAGTTTCTGAGCACTTCCTCCTTCCCTGTTTTTGCCTCATTAATTTTTCTTGTGTGAGCATCCTATATTGACCTTATATTATTTTATTTTTTCTTTTTGCGTTTTTTAATCTGGGTGATGAATGTGGTTGCAGAGGTGCAGGCTTTGAAAGCATGCCATGAGAGGAAGAAGAGAGTACCGAAAGAGAACTCCAGTGCTTTTGATGGCTGTTTCTGATGAGGTGTTTACTCGAGAAATCATACGTCCTTGGAATTAAAAAACTGTAAAAATTTTGTGGAAAACATAAAAATAAAGAAAAATATATTGGGAATAATGTACAAGTTGACTTTGGATGTTTTTAATGCTTACAATTCAAATTCTGCACATGTTTTGTTGTAAATTATGCAGCATAGACCTTACTCGTCGGGAAACAATGTAGCACATGCACAGAAAGTCCATCATGTTTCTCCTTAAAGGGTCTAGGCGATATAGATCTACATTCTCGTTGTTGTAGAACTTGGTTACTGGATTGTACTTAGAGCTTCCAATGAATACTAAAATTCATTGTGGTACTTTGTTATAGCTTTCTCTGCATTTTCTCTATTTATGTTTGAGCTATAATGCCTTTCAATTTTTATTATTTATTTATGCTTAATATTTATGTACAGGGAAGTAAGAAACATTTTGAGACAACCAGGTTTTGGCTAGGATAAGGCTAATCGAATGGTGACTGCCGAACCAGCCATATGGGATCAGTGTACAGCGATGAGTTGAAATGCATTTGTTGTCTATTTCTTTGTGGTTTGGCAAGTTTAGGTGCAATGTTCACAGAAATTCAATACATACGTGTGTTATCTTTACAAGAGTTTACTTTTGTGACAAAGTACAGAGGCAAGTCTTTGCCAGTATACTTCAATGAATTGGAGAAGATATTTGGCACAGATGTTTCGGATTGAAGCCATGTGAAAGGGGGAAGAAATAGGGGTTGATGTCTTCCTCAAGGTATATCCGCATCTCAAGACTATCTTCCTAAGCATCTAATCTTTGCTTTCATTAAAGTTCTAATTGTTGTCTAAATATTTTTTTATTTTTTATTTTGGGAACATTGTGGGACAAACAACAACGTTGTTTTATTGTTGAATGAGATATATTTTTGAGGTTGGGATATGGATGCATGAGTAGTGAATGTATGTCTACGTTGTGTTGAAGCTATTACATGTTATTGTTGAATGGGCTGGTTTCTTACTGCTTGCATATAGATGCATTAATTGTGCATGTTTGTTTGTATGTTGTGCTCAAGATATTATAGCATAGCTTAATAGAATACAGAAAACCAAATCCATAATTGCCATGACCGCCGATAGATATGAGTGTGCATGTGTGTGTGTGAATGTGTGTGAGAAATAGCGAGAGAGCGAGAGAGTTTGTATTCGGTTTAAGAAGAAAGTCATCGATTACCTACTTATGAGATTTAAAACCACCTATTCTACTTCACAATTGTAAAAAAAACTCAACAAATTGTATACCCATAATAGTCAAGAAAATATATTGATTTCTATTTTAAGATATGGATTGGGAAACTAGTGATTTGGTACACAATATTGAATTGAGGTTGTGCTTGACGTTATCTGGAGACTGCTTCAATTTTGAGGTGCAATGAAGTTTATCATGCAACATCTGCTTCAATTGTTGTACAAATATATCCTTCTAGGACGTTTCTCTCACTCATCAATAAAACTTTATCTCTATTTCAAGCCAACGTATTTTACTTTCAATTGATATTTTATCTCAAAAAATAAAATTTTAAAAATTAATAAAAAATAAATAATATCTAAGTTTCAATTTTAACATTTTACATCTTGTCTATTACTTCTATAGCTAATCCAATACAGATACCCAAAATTTCCTAGTCTTTCACCATGTTATCAAACACAGGTATTTAGAACTTACTTAACATTCCAGGAGGTTATCAAACACAGAAATTCATAATTTTTTCAACGTTCCGATTATCAAATACAAAACTTCCTACAATAACTTCTTTCTTCCCAACAAAGAGGAACTTTCAATTTACAAATCATGAACTTGCTTTCAGTTATCAAACAGGTCCCAGATCAACTTTTGAACTTCATGCACATACAAAGCCCCATGTAGACACTAGAATATGGCCATGCAGCACAACTTGTGTCACTCACAGCGATACTGTTACTTTTATTATGTAAGGTAGCAACATTTCAAAAGCATTGAACAATATATTATGCGACTCATGAACATATTCCCAGTATAACATGACCATGTATATGTTGGCCATTTCTGGAGTCTGGCATGTTATATGCAAATATGACTCAGGATATTCTCAGACTCATTACAGATGCTTAGATAATTACACTCACACATTAACTAGTGGAAAGGGAAAACGCCATTTTTTAATCGATTACAGTTTGCAACAATTTGAAAAAAAAAAAAGTACAGTATACGTCCTTCACATATGAACTAGTGGAAAGGGAAAACGCCATTGTTTAATGGATTACAGATGGCAACAATTTGAAAGAAAAAGTACAGTATGTAAATAGCCAAATTCCCTTGCTCATTCAAATATAAAGACGAGATACCATCATCCTTTACAGCCATAAAGTATCTCATGCATAAAATAAGACCAAAAGAACCATGCAAAATAAAATTCAAAGAAAATAATAGATGAATTCAATGATCTAGAAATCGTATAAAACAAAAACCTTTAAAGGAAAAAAAATCCCCATCTTGCATTTATTTGACCAAAAAATCCCTGCTCTTTCATAATTGATAGTTTTGCGAGAATGTCATATATGAGCCCAAAAATTGATGACTCCCACTAAGCAGTACTTAAAAAAGTAGTGGTCCACACCAGAATTGCCGGGTTCTGGGGCTGTCCTTGTGTTATTAACCCTAGAATTACCACTTCTCCTCGTTCTTTTGTTTTTTTAATCTTTTCATGTGATCCACATATTCGAATACGGATTCTCTTAATCCGAATTAAGTACATCAAAACTAGTGCCCCAACGATTCTGTACACAGATTCCTTCATTGATATTTTAGACTCCGCCGTCAAGATTATCTATCGTTCCCTCAAATTGTTTAATGATCTAGTTCTAAAGGATGAATGGTGGAAATTGAATAATTACAAAGCAAATAAACCGGTCCACAAATAATATTGTAATCCTTATTTGACGACTTAGACCTACCCGGCGTCCCCCACCCAAGGAATTCTTAGAAATCCTTGTTATGATTTCTAAAGACCGGATAAAATTTAATGAATCATAGTCAACTTAGATCGGGTTTAATTGTCCCAAAATCTATCCCAAGTCATAAGAGGTCTCGAGAGCTTTCTAACGGCCCAAAGATCATCAAAATCCGATTTACCATCTAAAAGACATAGACCATGGGATTAAAAAGGTAGAAATTACCAAACTGCCCATGAGCGAGACTCTCCCCATTTTGTGCACAGGCCGCGTTCCATGAGGCGAGTCGGGTAGCACAACGTGTGGCATGGCCTGATTGTCGTTAGTCGGTGAATTTCTCGTCCAAGTGCTATCTTATTTAGAATTTTTAGTCCATCTTGACTGAAATATTATGGAAAAATTCAAAGATTGGCTTATTCCTAATCAAAATAGAATTAGGAGATTATATCAATTAAATTCAATCCTAACCCTAGCTTAAGCATATAAGTACCCCCTCAAATTCCCTAGAAACTAGATCCAAAAAAAAATCATTAGGACAATCCCTAGTATTAGGAAATTCCCAGAAAATTCTAGAAATTAAGAAATATCTAGAAAATAATAAAAAGCTTGAAAAGTTAGGAAATTTGTCCAAAATACCTAGGAAAATGTGAGAAATCCTAAAACGCTTAGAAAATTATGGAGAACTTCCAAAACATTAGGGACAAAATCCCTGGAAAACCCTATTCTAGGGGCAATAAGCCCAGATCCTCTCAATATTTCTCTAAAATTCAAAATCCCAAGAACAAGCTCTCCTAGATCTAAATCAAAAACCTTAGAACCATGCTTCAAGAAAGGTAGAGAAAGCATCAAAATGTGTAAATCATCCCGCGATCTTGATACGGGTCCCAACTCTCGATTTTTCAAGTACGCGATCTTTCTCTCTTGTTTATTTATTTTTTGTTTTATTTTTGTGTTTATGTTTATTTCTTTATTTCTTAGATTTAGCTAATATTTAAGCGTTTTAAGATCTAATAAATGGTTTTTGGAGCTAGTGCTGCCAGTAGGTTTAGATGACAACTGGATATGCAAAGATTTGTGATGCCCTTAAACCTATAATTTGTGCGATCTCATTCTCTCTACTAAATTTGAAATTTAACTTGTTGTGAAAGAGATTTGAGTTGATCTCGCTCAGAGATCGGTGCAAATTCGAGCGTGAACACTTTGGCACTTACTGTGGAGCCCTCGAGCTTCAAATCCACACACTAATATTGTAAAAATCATTTTGTGAATATACAATAATATCCAGAAAAGCAAGAATTATAGAAGCCGAAAACTCCAAAAATGTATTGGAAAGGATCCCAAAATCTGATCCTGGACCTTCTGGATAACACAACTCGAACCTAGTCTCGCAGCGTGACACGACAACACATAACTATCGACAAAACTGCTGGAAAATTTTCAGCAATCCCATTTTTTGCCCTATTTCGGCTCGCTGTGATTTTTGAGTTTTTTCTCTCATGTTTTCAATGATTTGAAATTTCAGAACAAAGAGAGAGAGAGAGGACTAAGGGTTAGATTAGGTTTTTTTGGCTTATATGTTTAGGGTAGATTTGATCTTTTCAATCTTATCTTATCTGCTTAGTTTAGAAATCTTGATCTTATCATATAAGATTAGATTTCTTTGGATCATTATCTGTTTGTTCTATATCTTAGTATAATAGGCTGATTGCAGGTGCATGCTAGATCACACCACACGCACACACCACTAGAGTGTTCATTTTACACACGTTACCACACATGTCCAGACATACCCAACAAAGTTTTCAAATTTTCTAAACCTTCTATACCAAGACTTATCTCAAGGCCTTCTTACAACGCATTAGCCACTAACCTACCTTTATATCTTTCAATATTACCATCAGAGTTAAATTTCTTAGAGTATACTCATTTATAACCAATTGTCTTTCTATTTGAAGGCAAATATACTATGACCCATGTTTTATTGCTCATTAGGGACTCATATTGATCCTTCATAGCTTCTAGCCAACTATTTGCTTCATCGAAGCTGATTGCGTCCTTAAAATTATGGGGTACTTCATTCAATTCATTATAATTTATCTAAATGACTAAGTTTTTTAATTTTTCTAGTACTCATTCTACGCTCGTACAAATTAGGGGTCCGATCAAATTTAGAAGAGTTTCTTACATTTGTTGTCCTAAGATCGGGTGATTCCTCTTGGTCACTTTATTCAAAAAGTCTAGCTTGCTTATATATTGATATTTGAAAGTCTTCAAAGAAATGGGCTTCTCTACTCTATAATTTCTTTAGTTTCATCATTGTAAAATCTATATCCCTGGGAATTAGTACAATACCCAACAAATATACACTCACAGTCCTAGTTTCCCTCTCCCTTTTTATGAGGAATATGAACAGAGCCCCATACTCTAATATGATCGAAACTAGGATTCCTTCCAAACTACAACTCATACATTAATCGATTTAGAAGGGACTCTATGTCATATGTATGTTGCTGCCATAATAGCTTCATCCCAAAAGTAATATTTTACACTGGCTTCTTGTATCATATAGTTGACAATATCAATCAATGTTCAATTCTTTCTCTCGGCCATACCATTTTTTTGAGGAGTATATTGCATGGAGGTTTGCCTATGTATCCCATTCTTACTGCAAAATTGATTAAGCTCATATGATATATATTCTCCTCCCCGATCACTTTTAACAATTTTTATTTTCTTATTTAATTGACTTTCAACTTCTACTTTAAATTTATTGAATTTGTCTAATGCTCTATTTTTATGATTCATTAAATAAGTGTAAGAGTATTTAGAATAATCATCTAAAAACGTGATAAAATATTCACACCCACCAAGACTTTTGGGTTTTAATTTACCACAAATATCAGGATGGATAATTTCAAGTATGTTTTGAGCTTTTTGACCTTTAGGAAATGA